AGGTAGCTTATAGCAGTGCCTAGGTAGATAAACTCCTTGACGGACCCAAAGCTATAGCTTTCTGCAGTCAGCTGAGAATCAAGACGCCACGATTCTCTGCTAGAACACACCATAAACTTTGTTTTCTCCATATTCACTGCTAGTCCTACTTTTGCAGATTCCTTTTCAATAGCCCCGAAGGCTCCTGTAACATCACGCTTGGTGCGGCCAATGATATCAATATCATCAGCGTAACCAAGGAGCTGGACACATCTGTTGGTTAATATCGTGCCCGTCCGATGTACACCAGCCTTTCTTATAATATTCTCCATTAAAATATTGAAGAGCATACAAGACAGCGAGTCACCTTGTCTGAGGCCACACTTGGTAGTAAAGGTTTCGGATTGGCCACTTCCTACCTTGACAGAGCTGATGGTGTTGCTCAATGTCATTCTGCAAAGTCTAGTCAGCTTCACTGGTATACCAAGCTCAGACATGACGGCATATAGGCGATCTCGCCGGGGGCTATCAAATGCGGCTTTGTAGTCGACGAAGAGATGGTACGTGTCGATATGCTTTTCGTAAGACTTCTCCAGGATTTGGCGCAAGGTGAAAATCTGGTCAAAAGTGGACTTGCCAGGCCTGAACCCGCACTGATAAGGTCCAATCAATGCTTCAGCAATACGCTCGTTAGGACCTTGTATGCAACTGGAAGAAAACTAATTCCGCGGTAGTTAGTGCGCACCGTAGCATCACCTTTCTTCAGGATGGGACAGATCATGCTGAGGTTCCAAACTTCGGGCATGCTCTCCGTGAGCCATATCTTACTGATTAGTTGGTGCATGCTCCCTACCAACATATCACCAGCTGCCTTAAACAATTCTGCCGGCAGGCCGTCAGCACCTGCAGACTTGTGGTTTTTAAGCCGTTGGATTGCATCCTTGACTTCGATATGGCTTGGGATTGGCACTTCAATATCAGTGCAATAGATTGGGGTTCGTGGATCATAGTCTCCAGAGTCTGTGCTTCAGCCAGATAACAGACTCGAGAAGTGATCCCTCCATAACCTCAGCACGACCTCTGCTTCTGTGACAAGATTTCCATCATCGTCCCTGCACGCCATTGCACCAGTCTTAAATCCTTGGGTCAGACGCTTGACCCTCTGGTAGAAGTTACGTGCTTCATTTCTGCGTCTGCTGCTCTCTGTGCTCTCACAGCCTGCTCTTCTTTTCAGGCGAGAGCCTGCTCTTTCTTCTTGCGTCTGAAAATGCGTTTTTCGTCTCTTCTTCTCGACCTGTATACATCCACAATAGCTCGTGTCGCCCCAGCCTGCAGTGTTCAACTGTAGGCGGCGTCCTTTGCAACTGTTGCGTCATGACACTCTTGATCATGACAATTCAAGCACTTCTTCTGCCGAAGGTGAAGGTGCTATTGAAGGTGCTCTGCTTAATAGCCCCGAGACGTGAGTGGAGAATGCATTCTTTGCCTGTTGTGATTGCAGCTTTCCGACGTCCAGTCTTCTTAACGCACTTCGACGTGCAATCTTCGCCACACATAACCGTGTGCGAATCTTAGCTGCAACAAGAATATGGTCGGAGTCGATGTTGGGACCCCGACAGGATCACACGTCGAGTATATTAGATGCGTGCCTTGCATCGATCACAACATGATCGATCTGATTTCTGGTCAGTCGATCGGGAGAGAGCCAAGATGCTTTATGGATGTCTAAATGACGGAATCCAGTACTACGAACCACCATATTATGCGCAGCTGCAAAGCCTATTAATCTAAAACCATTGCTCGAGGTGGTCTTATGTAGACTAAATCGCCCGACGGTGGCACCAAAGATGTCTTCTCGCCCTACCTTGGCATTAAAATAGCCGAGGAGAATTTTGGGAAGGAAGGACATGGGAAGGACAGCGGCCATAAGCTCGGTCGAGCTCCGCATAGAAAGCGTCCTTGGTGGCATCATCCTTTTTCTCCCTTGGGGCATGTGCGCATATCAGGCTGATGTTAAAGAATTTGGCAGTAATTCGGATCGTTGCAATTCTCTCGTTTGTTGGCCGAAAGTGAGAGACTCGGCGCCGCATCCTGGCACCTACAACGAACGAAACCACAACTAAATTCATGCCCTTCTGGATGACAGCTGTAGTAAATGTCACAGATCTTCTTCTTTATGCAGCCTTGTCCTATCCATCGCATTTCCTGGATAGCAGTGATGTCAGCCCTACATTTGTTGAGGGTATCTGCTAGTTGTTGAGCAGCACCAGGTCTGTACAATGTTTGTACGTTCCAGGTGCATACTCTCAAATCATTGTCCTTTTTACGCTTGCTATGGTCGTCAACGATAGATCGGTTCCTTTCCGAGGCTTCTCTTGCTTCCTTCACTGAAATTGTGTTTTACCATACATGGGGGGATTTCAAGTCCTACGCCAAAACCTAGTTTGTAGAGTTAGGACTCCCGTCGCGCGCTTTAGTTTGCCACTCAACGGCTGTCGAGCGACAATCCAGGGAGAACCACGTGGAGGTAGTGCGTAGGCCTGAAGAAAGCAGTGACAGGAAAGCAGTGATCATGCTGGCATTCACCAAGTTGAATGCAATCAGACACTTTGACCTGTATGCTCCCCCCCATTCTCCATTCTCCAATATATATAATAGGTTGTCAAAAAAGTCTTGCGGTATTTTTGCTAGTTGGCACTGAAAGCGCGTAGTTCTTGTTTTATTCGTCGCATCAGGTTATACTATACCTTTTTGGAAAGCTCATTTCACGCGCTAACACGTGTTTGATTGATTCACGCGCTTTTCTTTTAAGTCTTTCGTGAGTTATAGAGTCGCATTCATGGAGCAAAATAAAGAGAAAATACGGCATATTTTACGGTACTACTACGATAAAGGCAAAAATACATCTCAAGCCGTCAATAAAATTTGTGCAGTTTATGGACAACGATGGTTTCAACGTTTTCGTTTTGGTGTAGAGGTGGTCGAAAATGCGCCACGGTCCGGAAGGCCTGTAGTCGAAAATTGCGATAAAATCGGTGAATTGGTCGAAAGAGACCGGCATAGTGGCAGCCGTAGCATCGGTCAAGAGCTGGGCACCGTTATAAACCATTTGAAGATGCTTGAAGTCACTAAGAAGCCCGATGTATGGGTGCCACACGAATTGACGCATAAAAACATCTTCGACCATATCGACGCATGCGAATCAGTTCTAAATCGCAACAAAATCGACCGTTTTTGAAGAGTATGGTGACTGGCGATCAAAAGTGCGTCACTTACGATAACGCAAGGCGCAAACGGTCGTGGTCCAAAAGCGGTGAAGCGACCCAGACGGTGGCCAAGCCTGGATTGACGGCCAGGAAGGTTCTTCTGTGTGTTTGGTGGGATTGGCAGGGAATAATCCACTATGAGCTGCTCCCCTATGGCCAAACGCTCAATTGCGATTGGCAACCGACCTGTACTGCCAACAACTGGACCGCTTGAAGACAGCACTGATGCAGAAGAGGCCATCTTTGATCAACAGAGGCCGAATTGTCATCCACCAGGACAACGCCAGGCCACGCACATCTTTAGTGACGCGCCAGAAGCTCCGGGAGCTCGGATGGGAGGTTTTTTTGCATCCACTGTATAGTCCGGATCTCGCACCAAGTGATTACCATCTGTTTCTGTCCATGGCGAACACGCTTGGTAGTCTGAAGTTGGCCACAAGAGAGTCCTGTGAAAATTGGCTCTCCGAGTTTTTTGCCAATAGGGAAGCGAGCTTCTATGAGAGGGGCATTATAAAGTTGGCATCTCGTTGGGAACGCGTCATCGAACAAAACGGCGCAAATTTTACTTTAATCGCATTATTGTAACCAATTTTATGAACAACTCAATAAAAATACTGCAAGACTTTTTTGACAACCTAATATATAACGAAAGCGGCAGACTGTTCGGTGAATTTGGAAATTTCCGGAACTATTTCACACCCCGCTGGCCAATATTAATTATGCCTTCTTTTTGTCACCACACAATTTTACTGTTCACTTGTGAATATTTCTCGGATTAATTGCACTGCGAAAAAAAATGTATGTGTGTATGTATGTATATGGATGCACATATGCCTCGACCGTTGGCAAGCGAATAGTAGCCGAAAGTGAATAACGGAGAAGCCGAAAACGGCGAGGAATATGGCGAAGCACACAAAATGGAGTCGGATGAAAAAATTTGCAGAATTTAAAGACGAAGAAGAGTGGAAAATCTTAAACTGCCGTTGTGTCGCAAAACTCGGACTTGGAGTTGACACGGAAGGAAAAAAAAAAACTTGTAGCCGTGTGAACGAAATTTAATGTTCGGACCACTACTGAAGACCGGCAGAGAGACGGAGACGGAAAAATATAGTACTTATTTTGCGGCGGTAAAATGCCGGGAATTGCTGGTAGAAAAATATCCAAGAATATCCGGCTCGAAGGACCGGCCCAAGAATATCCGGCGATGCTGCCGCAAAAAGATTCCATAGGTTATTGTAGAATGCTACTATATATCCTATAGCTATATTATATTATATTATAGATATCCTTTCGACAATATCCTACAGCTGCCATATAACTGATTGATTAAAAATGGTGTGTTTTTAGAGATGGAGTTCGCATTTTGCATGAATGCTATTTTTGGCAAAATAATACCAAATTTCATAACGATCGGCCGACTATATCCTATAGCTGCCATATAACTGAACGATCGGAAATGGTATTTGGTTAAAAATACCAACTTTGTATTTTTGAAGATAGAAGCTTGCGACTTTTTCGTCTATTTTGTATTGTAATAAATTGGTTTTATTATGATATTTTTATAAGGATCGGCCAACTATATCCGAAATTTACGTTGTATATACGCTCTTAACTGCAATGGTATATTAACTTCGGCTCAGCCCGAAGTTAGCTTTCCTTGCTTTTCTTCATATTAGTGAAAGTTTCATTTAAGAGTATTTATGTCTGCCGCGCGCGCACTTTGCAACTTTAAAAAGATAACTTACTCGTTAAAAGTATCTTTCCTTTAAAAATTTTAATTTTACAAATAATTATGTGTATTACATTAAACAATATACATTTTCATTAATATTTATACTTAAACTCCATTCGAAATAAATACTGAACATTAACTTGAGCAATATCGTATACTATGTATTCATTATATAATAAAGACGATTTTAAATTTTCATTGGTAACTGCTTTTCCAATTGGTATTTCGACGCCATCTTTTCTTATAAAACTCTCCTTCGGATTCGGCATGGTTCGTCCGCGTCCGAAGCAACTGTGTTTATTTTTTGGTAGTTTGGTAATATATTTGGCTGAAGTTAGTTCCATCATATCACCTAAAGCCACTTCAGAGAGAAGCATTAGTCCTGTACAATTTTTTTGACTCGTGCAACAATAATTGGCCGATTTAGAAACCATATCAGCAAAATAAATCCCTTTCCCGAACATATAGCCAGTTGGCGGTGCTTCTGGTGGAGCAATTTTTAAACCATGTGACAAAATACCGGCGAAGTTTGTTAAACGAGAACCATGCCATAGTAGTTTACGGTTATGAAGTTTTTTAAAAGGCTTATATCGTCTAGCTTCTCCTTGACGAGCCACTTTAAAAACGTCCACCACTTCGAGTACGTAGGAGGCATGTGTGGAAGCATGAGTGTTTTTTACATAATCTTTGAGAATAGAAAATTCCTCACTGTTTTTGTCTAGAGGTTCTAGATTAGTCTTCAATTGGGAATAATGTTTATCCAAAGGGTGTTTATTATCAGATAAGTCTTCGGTCTTTATAAAACTATATGCAACCTCTATTTCCGCTAGAGAATCAAGCATATGAACCAAACTTTCAACCTGCTCTATCGTTTCAATTATTGGCGGCGATTTCACTCCAAAATTATGAGGAATCAATGTATAAAATCTATTTGAAGCATCAACTAGTTTTGCGGTTGTGGATCCTGATTTTATCAAATCAAAAATATTTGCGGCGACAGTGTAAGCAGATTGAACCTGCTGTAAACTAAGCTTACCTAATGGCATTTTTTCCAAGTCAATATGAAACTCCAACAAGGCGCTTTTCATTGAGTCCACATCAAATATTAACTTAATTAGATTTTGCACAGATGGCTCTAAATTAGACTTTAAAGAATAATCTGAGTGATTTGAAATAGATGAGTGTTCTTCATATTGAACATCTATTGGATACATTCGACCAGCCATTTTCACAAATTGATTTCTTTTTTCAAAATCATTTCCGGTTTTATCAACATACACTTTTTTAAATGTATTTATAGCCTCTGCAATAGAACCGAACTCCTCAAGCTTTGAATTTCCTATGGTTGTGCCGATTCTGCCCCAGGAGCGAAAAATCCAGTACCTACGAATAACGAAATATATGAGAACCGATTACATAATTACATATTTTAGTTTAATTTAATTAAAGTATTTGTCAAAAATTGCATTAAAGAAATGTTCAACTCTGTTCTCTTCTAATACTAAAGTTACAGATCTTATAATTGGTATGATCCTGGCGCATATTTAAAGACCACCACCGCACAGCGCCACGAATATGTCCGAGTTAATAGATTTTGATAAAAAAAAAAATAAAAAATTTCTGCGATCAAGAATATAAATAGCATATCATGATATAGTGTTTATTTTGGAATATTAAACGAATCATTAACCACTAGCTTGACACCATTTTGGAAATTGATCATTATCGGGCTGAAGTATACAATAAAATAAACTAGTTTTGTTTTTTTAAACCCGGTACTCATGTATATACATCAGAAAACTGCAACGAGTATTATTAAGACAAAACGAGTTCTATTCAAGTACTTCCAACGTCAGCTGATTTTATTTTACATGAACCTATTTTCTTCGCCCCTCTATAGGCGAAGCAGGCTTCGATCAAATCGTTTTATGCAATTGCTGCTAAACGATTCATTGCGTTGAACTGTAGCTAAGTCAGAATCCAAGGCATTTTTACTAGAGTATAATTGTTTTGATGTTTTGATAAATATCTGTTGTTTACTCGAGTGATTCGGTTATAATACGTGTGCTAGAAATGTTTGATGAATTCAATGCACATCAAAAGTATGTGCTCTGTCTACTTGTATACATATTGGGAGTTTATTGTGGTTTGTTAGCCTTTATCAGGAAAAAAAGAATAACAAGAAAGGAAAGCTAACTTCGGGCGGAGCCAAAGTTGATATAACCTTGCAGTTAAAAAAAAAAAAACCAAAAAAAATATAGCGCTAACATCGGATATAGTTGGACGATCCTTACGAGAATATGATAATATACCCCAATTTATTATAATACAAAACCTAAGAAAAAGTCCCAAACTTCTATCTTCAAGAATACCACAGTTGGTATTTCTACCAGAACCCCTTTCCGATCGATCAGTTATATGGCAGCTATAAGATATAGTCGATCGGTAAGAAATTTGGTAGGTCGGATTAACTGACCAAAAATATAATCTGCAAAGTTTCAAGTCGATAGCTTTAAAACTGAGAGACTAGTTCGCGTGGGAACAGACAAACAGACAGATGGACATGGTCATATCAACTCAGGAGGTGATCCTGATCAAGAATATATATACTTTATAGGGTCGGAGACGTCTCACACTTTTGACCAAAATTATAATACCCTCTTCAAGGGTATTATAAGGCTTACTTACTTTGATTTTTTATCAGCTTCCAAAAGCTGTAACTTATAGTATGAATTTTTGTTTCGTTGAATATCAGTCAATCCAAGCACTGCGTTGTAGTTGTCTTTTCCCCTTGCATATACATGGGCAATGTCTTCCAGTCCACTTTCAGGATCAACGGCCATACCATTTTTAATCTTTAAAGTCTTCGATTTTGGTGCGGATTTAGTGTAAATACTATTTGACCTTAAGCTCTTAACTTCATCTTGAGGGACCTTTTTTGATAGATCTGACCCCCAATTGCAGAGACTCAAACTGTTAATATAATTTATAGCTCCGTCAGCATCGGATTCAACTACATCTAAATATTCTATAGGAACAACATGAATGCCAAACTTTTGAGCCGTCAACATTCTTTGGGAGTTTCGTTTCACTTCATTTTCAGTGGATATAATTGCTATAGTACTTTCCGATATTTTAGTTTCAAATTTTCCACCCAATTTTTGAATACGGGTTTTTAAATCATTCTCCTTATGTTTCATTCCTACGTGCGAAAATGTTAAGTTGTACAATGTAGGCTTTTTTCGAATGACTTTGGGGCTGAAAAAAATGAAATATCAATTAAATCCATCATTTGAATAGGGATTATACCTTGATTGGGATTTTAAGTACGTAAATTTTTTTGGATAAATTAAATATTTTTTTAAACAAAATTTATATTTTTAATAAAATGCATTTGGGTAGAATTTTAAAGAAATTTAGAAACTTCCGAAGGACGTAAATACAGTTTGTGTTGTTTAAGAATGGAAGATGGCAATGTTTTGCATCAAGAATATTGGTTAGAGAATACTAATTCAAAAATATTTTCAATGCTCACCCATCTAATGTTTCGTTGGCTGTTTTTACAGTTAAATTCCTCGAAATAGTAGATTCACTGGGGGGAATATATTGAATAGTTCGATTTTTTGGTGTTTCTTGTACAGAATCTAAAAACGAATACATATTTTTCAGAACATCTGGTATTTTACACGCCATCCGAGTGGGTTTCTTCAACAAATGCGCACATTTAGTCCACTCTGTAGTGTTTCCATTGCATAAATAGCCAAATTTGTTAAAAATAAATTGAGATCCTCCACATTCAGGGCATGGTTCAATTGATCCAAAAGTCAACAGATCAGCAGCTTGATCTAAAAGTTTTTCAGTATTACCGGTTATAGGTTCCTGATTGTTTGTGATTAATAGGCTCTCAATATCTATTCTTTTTACTTCACTTTTTAGTTTATCACGATACATAAATAATGTAACGTTTTCGTTTTCAAGTTGTTTTATGATTTTTTGGTCTTTGTTATCTTCTGTTGTTTCCATTTTTATTTTTTTAGTAGGCGGTAATTCCTCAGATTTTATTTTCCTGTAATATAAATGTAATTAAAAAAAATATTTTTAAAATGCACTATATTAGAAAAAAATTAATAATGGGACTTCCTGGATGCTTTGTTAGATCCTTATGCACCGTCCTTATAACAGATGTTGTCGCGGTAGCTAAACTACCGATTCCTATGAAGGAATCGAGCACACTTATACTAAGTTTTCGGCGCGTTGTGAGTTAAACGGCGGTAAGGCATTTCTTAGAATAATATTTAGCTATTATAAAATATACCTTTTACATTATTCGTTGAATACACAACTCGGAAGTGTTTTCAATGGTGCGTCTGTATATATTGTAGGCAACTCCGGGTAGAATTTGTGGCGCGTACACCGCGTTAGACGGAGAAGTCGCTGTTCATTCACCCCAGCAATGCTCCAGTAATGGAGCAGATGCGGCCGACCGGAGCCACTTATACGCAGCCAATTCAATAGCATCCGAGATCTGCCTGCAATAACGGAGCACAATCTGGGAAAGCTCGTCGCATTCGCCACGCAATTGAGTATCGAAAAGACCTTTTTGCAGTCAGCAAAGACAGACCAGCATTTGGGTAACCAAATGGCTCCTTATGGAGGAGCTTGTGGCCAAACTCCTGACAAGCAAACGAGTGGAATGGGCAAGGCATGCTGCAGGTATTCAGCCCTATCCGACTGTTGTGGTCTGCGTGGTAGCAGACTTTGACGTAAAAGTTCCAGGGCGTCAATTTCTTCATGCTAGCATCTACCGCTATCATGATGAGGAGGCGGAAATTTGACTGAGCAGTTGTCCCATGTGTGGACAACATGCCATTTGGAACTGCCAACGGTTCATCGGCGCTGTGTTGAGAGAATGCCCTGTGAGTGGATGCAGGAGGAAATTGAAGAAGCGCTAATCGGGTGTTGGACAGAGGGAAGGAGTCCGAGTAAATCCGAGTAAATGAAGGAGCATCGTCATCTGTGGATGCTCATGCGACGTCGGAAAGGAATTTGAGCTGCGTCGACGAAAACGGAGAACAATTCTATTCCGTGTATTGCGAGAAGCGCTAATTGGGTGTTGGTCAATGGGAAGGCGTCCGAGTAAATAAAGGAGCATCGTCATCTATGGATGCTCAGCCGACGTCGGAAAGGAATTATAGCTGCGTCGAAGAGAACAGAGAAAGACTTCTGTTCCGTGTATTGCCGGTGGCGCTATACGAAGGTGGGAAGCAGGTTCATTCACGCGCTGCTGGATGAAAGTTCCTATTTGACGATAATCGACAAAGAGCTGATTGAAGATCTAGGCGTACTGGGAGTAAGTCGTAAGCTACTAACGTGGTAGGTCTGTAGATTATTGGAGGAGGTTCGTCCACGCGACATGTGTTGAGGAACGAGTATGCCAGCCAGCGCTGCAACGCCGATACCAGACGGGATTATTATGGAAGAAGAAAAACATTGTGCTGCCACGTAACTATGATAAAGCGTCAAATAAAGAAGAAAATGAAGAATTACGGGCAGTTTGCCCAGTAATATTTACGAATTGTATTTTTTTCAGAGCTCACAAATAACAGTTTACCGTTTTTCGTTTCGGTGTGCTCACTAAGACAACAAAAAAAGACAATATTCGTGTGCTCTCGCTCTGAACTGAACTTTCGTTGCTCCTTGTTTTTGTTTTCGGTTAACTGTTCTCCGTTTCGGGGTTGTTTTTATGCTCCCTCAACAACAACCTAGAGTGAGCGATTCAACTGAACGCTCACTCATTGAGAGTCAGCTGATGAGCGAAAAAACGAAAAACTCATCGTAAATGGTCTTTTGTTTTTAGTAGAGTTTAAATAACGTTTAGTAACAGCTTTAACATATTTATTAAATCTTAACATTATATTTTTTATTTATTCAGTGTTTAGCTTAACAACAAGTAGAGAATTTAAAGTTTCTGCACTTAAAGAGCTTCGTCGCTCGCTTAAAATGTAGTGAAGCGGTGAAAAGGCCCTCTCAACAGTCACCTGAGTCGCTGGTACAGCCAGTACAACGTGTGCGAGCGCACTCAGATGGGGCGACTGCAGTTTTATATCATTATCATTTACATGTGGCTTACAACATGTAAATTACAAGTCATTCGCATATATGTACATACACTCATACAAAGGCAAAAGACTTTTATTTTCTTCGCTCGTTGCAAAATGGTCAGCGAATAACCAGAGCAAAAAGGACATGCAAAATTTGTTTTTGGTTAAGCACAGACCGTTCGTTCAGGAGACACAGGTGAACGGTTCTAGTGTGACCTTTTGCGCACCTGATGTGCAAAAAACTGTTTTTTGGTGACTATGCGGAGGAGTGACGGGGATGACCAACAAGATCCCGAAGTTTATGAGATGTGCGTGATAAACTTTGAAGCTGCATGCTCACCGAGTTCGGCTCATCATGTGAAGACTGTGAATGCCAGGCGATTCCTGGATTCGGACCCAAGAGCGGCCAAGGCCATCGTGGATTACCACTACGTAGACGACTATGTGGGCAGTGTCGCCACGGAGAGCGAGGCGATTGAGATATCTACCCAAGTGAAGAAGATACATGCGAAACCGGAGAAATACAAGTTTTTGTCTAGTTCGCACGCGGTACAGAGGATGCTTTGACCCAGTGATAACGCCCAGAGTATTGGATGGGGCGAGGCCGAGCAGAAGATTTTGGGAATGCGATGGCAGCCAGACACGGACGACTTTAGGTTTTTAGTAAAGTACCACAAAGTTGCTCACATTATGCTAGATGGAAAGAGAGTTGCCATAAAAAGGGAATTCTCAAGCATGGTTATGTCGACGTTAGACGAGCCACTACCGGCTGAAATCTACACCGCCTTCATGAATTGGCGTAAGGAGATGGAGAAAGTGGAACAGTTCAGGATCCCACGTCACTATTTTGGACCTGGGCGACGTGCAGATTGATGGACAACGCTAGGCAGGACCACGGAGTGTGCACCGGCACAGTCTCACGGAGATAATTGTGCGCGATGCCCATGTATGGAAAAATTATCAAAATGTGTATGTGGACCAGGATCTGGATCACGAGACTGAGAAGAGTGATTCGCTAGACGATTTATGGATGCATCCAGTGTAAGCTGCAGAGAGCGCGGCCGATGCCGCGAGGTGTTCGTGCCGGAGAGGCTCCAGACGGAGCTGTCATATAAGAGCATTGAATGGATCTTTAATTGCCCATCGTATCCGTCAGAGGGCGGATTCTGGGAGCGAATAGTGCAGTGCGTGAACAGTGTGCTGCGTCACACAGTGAAGGAACTGGAGAAGAAGAAGCACGTCTTGGAGAGTTTCGTGACAGAGGCGGAGAATACTGTTAAGAGTAGCTTATCCGCCACATAACCTTGATCTGGATGGAAGCATTGTAAAGGAAGGAGCAACAAGGAAACAATGGCGCATCGCGAGAACAGTGAGGGAGGGTGGGTCTTGGAGTACCTGCCCACGCTGACACGGTAAGAGAAGTGGTGCCGCAGAGACAAGCCTTTTCGTCGAAGAGACATTGTCTTCGTTTGTGACCCAGCTGCACCGCGCCGAGACTGGCGTAGAGGCGACGTAGAGGAAGCTTTAATGGAGAGGTTATCTCTATCCTCTCCTTTCCTGATTTATCAATCAGGCGGGACAGCCTGCGAATCATGGATGGCCATCGGCATTTGTGTGAAAATGTTCTTCACGAAGGTGCCGCGGGTCCAATGCGATACCGATAGTTTAGAAAGAGTCATGGAGTGTGGGAGGTTAAACTGCGGTAAGACATTTTTTAGAATAAATTTTAACTATTATTGACTTTTTAAGCCCTCACACAATGAAATATAAGTTTTGCGTTATTTGGTGAATAAACAACTCGCCAGTGTTGTCAATGGTCTGCGTGTATTGTAGGCAACTCCAGCCACAGCAACTCCATATCTCAGTAAGTAGATGCAATTAATGTTTGATATTTTGGGAGCAAAAGCGATTGGTTATAAGGTATTTAGGTATACACATTTGCAAAACAAATTTTTTGCCAAGGAAAAGAAAAGAAAGATAAGAAGAAAGAAAAGCTCAAACTCTCTGGTCAACAAAATTTATGAGTTGGTCGGAAATAGTTTCAAATTGTTCCGTTCCGTTAGCAATGTTAGCAACAGTGTAAACAAAAACGAAAGGCCTTAACCACACTTCAACCGAGGCCGACGCTCTACGATCTGAGATGGAAAATCGAATTCAGCGTAACTTTCGAGAAGGCTTTTGTACAATGCAATAATAAATGTGAGAAATAAACTGGACTACACTTCACCCGGAAGCTCCACATACTGGCCAATAGACCAACGTAAGCTCCAAGACCTATAGATTTTGTGGTGACAAAAAACATACCTCGCAATCCAATGAGGGCCAAAGCAGTCTCAAACTTAACATCAGACCACCCACCTGTGCTGACGCTTCTTTAAAGCCCAGAAATAACCAAACACCCTTTCAGCCAGACGTAGCCTAAAACTAAATGGCTTAAATATAAAAAAAAACCGTAATTCTCACATTGAACTCGCTCCGAATCGGAGATGTACTACATTACCCTCGCCAACTAGCTTAAATCTACCTTCTCAGGGTAAGGAAGTAGACCCAAACAGATACTAAAAATTAAATCAGAAAATCTTGTGCGTGTAAAGAGGAGAAGGCGGGTTAATTGGCAAAACATCAGATGATGAGCTGCAAAGATACGCCGTAAGGAAGCAACGCGATCACTAGACCTGGCTCTTCACCACCAGGCAGAAAATGCACAGCAGCGAATCTTTTGCCAACTTGTACACGGTATCCCCATTGGAGGGCCCACCAAAATTTAAGCGCTCCAATCAAATCGGGACCTCGATAAGAAACTCCTCAGGATGATAATTTTTCATCATGAGCATCATGAGTTAAGCATGTCCTTCTGTTCGTCCATGCAAACTAGTCTCTCAGTTTTAAAACTATCATCTTGAAACTTTGCACACACCCTTCTTTCCTTTGCACGCTGTATATAAGTCGGAACGGCAGGGATCGGCCGACTATATCCTATAGGTGCCATATAACTGATTGATCGGAAATGCTATAACTTTGGTGTTTTTAGAGTTAGAGGGTTCATGAGATTTTTAAATGAGATCTATTTTTGGTCAGATAATCCGATCCGTTTGGCTTATTGGCTCTTGCGTTAAGGGGTTATATACCTTTTTTATTTTCAAAAAAACGAAAATTTTTTTAGTGGTTTATCTTGAAGAACAACTCCTTGAGAACATTCTCCCAAATTTTCATAGAGATTGGAGCAGTAGAAAAAAAGTTACAGCGCTCCTAATCGCACGCCTCGTTGCGGCCTTAAACTGAACTTGAAACTTTAAACGCGAATATCTCGAAATGGTGTTTCTTGAAAAATGACTTTGCGGTGACATGGATTGGCGGAAAACTACTGAACCGATTTACTTCAAATTTTTTTTTAAATGTTCGTAATGAAATTCTCTTGTGCTTGAACGATCGACTTTTCACGCGCAAACTTTTTTTTCGGCGAAATAAATTTTTTAGTGAAATTTCTAGAGACTAAAACGTTCATTTTTAGCATAAAACGCTGCCATATCCAAACAAAAACAAAAATTTTAAAATCGATCGTTCAAGCACAAGAGATTACTCTAAACTAATGAAATAATTTTACTTTTATGGTTTAAGTTGACCTGTTTGACCTGGGGAACTGTCACCGCAAGGCTCTAAAAAAAAAAGGCCTCTAAGGGAAACAGCCACCCCTTAAAAACTATTTAATATTTTTCCACCAAATTTTGCACAAACATTGTTAAAAAAGTGTACTATCAAAAAATTAAAACATCCGTGTAATTAAATAATTGCTACATACCTAAAAAAAAATACGAGCTTTGCTCATTTTCTTCGACAAAGAAGGTATATAACCCCTTAAATTGAAACTCAGTTGCCTACATACACCCATAAGCTAATCGAGTCGTTTATCTACATACTTGTAAAAATATACATGTGCATTGACCGTTGGGCCTGATGTCCCATCTATGTATTGTATAATCTTTAGTTAAATATACTTGAACATATATACATTAGTAAATACGAATGGTAATTTTTTTTTTGAGTCTGTGCTTAAGATTGTGCTTATTGCACGACGTTGTTGCCCCCAGCATATGTACTCTAACAACGGCAATACATTTTGGGAGCCTCCTCAGTCCTGCCCAGGGACTTTTTAAAAGCAACATGAGTGCTCCTTTTGCCCAACTACACCAAGGTCAAGAGTTTTATGAGTCAGTTTTACAAGGTCATATCCACAGGAAAATTCTTTTTTGAGGACTAGTCGGCCCCCTAGTCACGCTAACCGAACCCACAAACTAGAAAGACGCAATCTCCATCCTAAATCGGTGGCTTCGCCTTAAGATTCATATGCAGAAGGTTTGGTCTCCGTTGCCTTCCAAAGAAGCTTCATAAACGGCCTAAATGGTCGTGAAGTACGACAACCTCCCGACTGCCGAATGGTAGCCAACAGGTTTCATCTTCATTCCATCCAAAAACCTCTGCAGTAAAATGGCGCCACAATCACAACCGGATATCCGGGTACGGAGTCCTTCCGTCGCAAGGTGAGCCACGCCTTTACTAGCGTGCTTCCGATTCCGGTTTCGAGCTACTTCTGGGCAGTAATGTCTTCCTGGACAAAATGGGCTAATGCTCGCAAGTAAGCGCCTTCTTGCCTTAGACATGTAAGATCTAAATTGATACCAGATATTTTGGTATATTTTGGGAAGGTTTACGCGTATGTAGCAGGTATTTACATCATCAATAAGTTTTTTTTTTATTTGATAACGAGCGTACAAATAATGTCTACTTACGGAAGTACCCTTTTAACATCATGTTGATCCTCACTCTTTAGGTTTGAAAAGCCGGTCATATTGTCTCCACAAGCAAGCCAGCCTAGTTCAGTCCTAAGTTGAGCAAAGCATTCTAAATGGTGCCATAGCGGTTGGCCACCATATTTCATTCCCACTTCAGTATCATAGACCGTTTTACGTATTCGGATGGTATCCTTACTAATTTTTTGTTCACATCCACGACAGGATGCCCGACCTGACTTCGCATACTCCATTCCGAAGTCTTTAAGTGGCCCACTATCACCCTTACGTTTTTTTTTTGAATTAGTTTCACAGATTTGTTCTAAGTTGCCTTAAAAAAGATTAGACATTAATAATAAACCATACAATAATTATAAAAAGTACATACCAATACTATCTGCTAAGTCCTTTTGGTCAACGAATCTTAAATTTTCGTAATTTTGAATGTCACCTACAGAAGTTGGTCGTTGTTTTTGGAAAAAACAGCTTTTGTGGAACCAGTTAGGTATTTTGGAATCATGAAATGCAGACTGCGTTTAAAAATTATAAATTAAAATCAATAAACTATATACTATAAATAAAACTAGGTATAGATTTTCAAATCGGAACATCTTCGGAGCGTCTAGACACTTTTGTATGGGGCCATAAATACATTCTTTTTCCACTTACATTAATGTAAAATCGAAATTTTCACAGAAAGTTTCGTTTGTGTTAAATGATTAGTCATGAATAATCACCATTTGCCATTGAAAAACCTATCCCGGCCGTTCCGAATTACATATATACTGCGTGCAAAGGAAAGAAGGGTGTGTGCAAAGTTTTAAGTCGATAAGTTTAAAACTGAGAGACTATGTCGCGTAGAAACATGCTTATATCAACTCAGGAGGTGATCCTGATCAAGAATATATATACTTTATAGGGTATAGTCGACTTACATATAGTCGGAACGGGCGACTATATATTATAGCTGCCATATATCTGATTGATCGGAAATGCTATAGCTCCGGTGTTTTTAGAATGAGTTCGGATTTTATACGAATGCTATTATTGACAAAATATTACGACCCACAAAATTTCATAAGGATCGGCCGATATCCTATAGCTGCCATATAACTAAAAAATCGGAAATGTTCGAACTTTCGTGTTTTTTCAGAGAGAAAATTGAAACTTCGTTTGGATTCTATTCCATTTTGGTTTAGTTAATCCCTCCAACCAAATTTTATAACGATCGGCCGACTATATCTTTTGGCTGCCATATAACTGAACGATCGGAAATGGTTTTTACCAACATACAAAATACCAATTTTAGTGTTCTTGAAGATAGAAGTTGGGTATTTTTTTTAATTTTGTATCGTAATGAATTGGTTATATTATGATATTCTCATAAGGATCGGCCAACTACATATATCCGATTTTTGAGAAATATATCCGCAAAAACTGCAAGGATATATCAACATCGGCTCCGCCCGAAGTTAGCTTTCCTTTCTTGTTTTTTTTTTATTTTGGGTGAATGACGGCAAAAACGCACTGGTTCAAACGCACATACAAGAATGCCAACATTTTGTAAATATTAGTTTTAGTAGCCACATAAACGTTTCGTAGGGTAGCTAAGGAGGGTATGTAGTATGTCATATGAATCTACATACATATTTGTTGGGTCGCGAACGTTTTTTTCTCGACATACTTGAACCATTACAGCAATTCGAAGATTGTCTTTAGCAATATTGGATTTGCATCCTTTACAAGATGCTCGGCCAGTCCTAGCATATTCGGCCATGAAAGGTAGCTCAACATCCATTTTCAATTTTTATTATTATAAATGATTTAAATTGTTTCCGCAGATTCAAAGATTATTTAATTTATCGATATCTGTAAATTTAGGGCTTCTGTTAGAGATGACAGAAATAAAAATTAATATAAATATCGATATTTTTTCACAAAAAAAATTTTTTTTTGGGATATGCACTCTTTCAGTTTACATTCGGCCAGCGATTCGAGTTTTCGACGAAAGTTTAAAACATTAATTTTCGTAGAAAAATGTCTATTGAAAACGAATTTTTAGAGTGAGAATCTGAATCACTATCACTATTTCTAGCATTAAAATCGGGAACATTGTCATTATGGTTCATGTAACAAGAATATAGCAACTAACGCCGAAACGTTAGTTAATCATAAATCCAACTCCAAACGGCAGATGCGTTACGATTGTTTTGTATATATGTATATAGATATCAAGCAGTTGCTCAAAAAAACAAATTCTTCTTATTTCTGAAAAACAAATTTCATCCAAATGTACATGAGTCGTGTGAATGTACGCAACATAGAAAAGGAATCATTTCCAAGCACTTAAAAAATATTCATGATCAGCATCAACAGCTGAGCCGATACAATCATGTCCGTCTGTCCGTCCGCACGAATGAGCGCGTGGACCCAGAGACTATACTAGATAGAGTAATAGGATTTGGCTTGGAGATTCCTACAATACCCATGCAGCTTAAGTTTGTTTCAAATTTTTGCTACGCCCCAAGAATGAAGTTATACGTGCCGACGGATATGAAGCAGTAGGTTCTAAAAGAGAACCATGATGCACCGATTGAAACAGATGCAGGTGACGGGGAAAATGCTGGAGAAAGTGGTATCCAAAGGTTGGCGACACGGTTTGGGCAATGGAACATAATTTGTACAAAACGGCCGAATGGTTCGCGGCGAAACTCTCGTATCGTGGGTCCGCACACTATTGCCAATAATTGCCATTTGAAGGGACTTCCCTTGTGATACCATTTTTGGGATCTTCCCTTTCCGTGTTCTGAAGTAGTGGGTCAGTAGTTCGCCCAGACTGAGGCTATGGTAAATGTAAGTTAATTGTTTGTAGTTCGGTGAATTAAAAAAATGTAAATTTTATTTTTTAATTATACAACTTGGTGTTAAACCTCTATTTATTAAACGTAATTATTACAAGACACTTTTGATTTTTCTTAAATATTTTTTGTCAACCGTTCGCGGTCTCGGTCAAAAAGGGACTGACTTCTTAATTCTAAATCTGATCCAAAGAACCTCGGCCATCAGTTGTGTTTAGATTAGAGGCTTAAGATGAAAATGTCGCATCTTATTATGAAATTCGATTAAGCTGATCGATGCAATTTGGTGGGTACTTGAAACGCAAAATGCGTAATTTATTGGGCTTCGGAGGGAAGCTGATGTTTACTTTTGATTTTGATTTGTTTATGGGGAACCGAGATCGTACCACAGAGCCAAAGACAAAGCCGAAAGCAAATGCAGAGTTTGAAAATATTGTTTATAAAATTCATAAGTGGCCTGTATAACTCACCTCATGGAAATCTCACCCCCTTCTAAAATGGATCGTCCCGATTCAATATGAAATTCGTTTAAATGATCTCTTAATTCTGTTAATAAATTTTCTTGGTTAATAGATTTTTCTGGTTCAGGCCGATGTTTTTTGGTTACAAATAATATAGCATTTTTGTATTTTATAATAAGTGCAAGAATCAAATATATAATAATTAAAATTAATAATACAAAGGAAAGTGATATTTTAGTATTCTTAATTTTAACGAAAGGGTTTAAAATGTTTATATTATCTAAAGAAATATCAGAGTTATTTGATAATATGTAATCGGATATTTCATAATTTTTGAAGTGGTTCGTAGTTACGTATTCAAGAATTTTATTTTCCAAATTGGTATATGAGATATTATTAATTTTAGTTGTACCATTAAATGTTATTAAAAACGAACCGTTTAAATGGGAGTTGTTAACAATATTGTTCCCATTTATAAAAATGACACCATCTTTTTTATTTTTTTCTCTTATTTTTTTACAGGTTGATTTCTCACCATTTAATAATCGGGTAAAACAAGTTTTTTTGTTACTTAAAGTGCAATAATTATTAAAAAGTTTGTTCTTAAAATTAGACATTTCGTAAAAAACATTTTCGCATTTTGCGACTTGATTGCTTAATACTAGTTTTCCATCGATTTGGGAAATCGCTCTAGCGTGATATATTTCACATCTGTTTTTTATTATTGGGTATTTTATATAAATTATTAAAAGTTCTTTATGCAATGCGATTTTAAAAGAAGAGCTGTCCATTAAATCAGCTATAATTATTGGTTTTTGTTCATGTTTTAATATTTCCAAGATGTCATCATTGTTTAAAATTTTGGTATTAAAAACGTCTATTTTTGCTAGAGTGATTGTGTCAATTAAATTTTGCAGATCAAATGTTAATAATCGCAAACGATGTTTTCGAAGTGGTAGATCTTGATCAATAAATACTTTTTTAAAATCATCGGAAAGAGATTCTATTTCTGTGAATAATCGGGAATTGATAATAGACTGCTTATTATTGTTTTCAATTAATTCATTAATTTTATTCTGAACTGTAATAAAATCATCGTGCTCCGGAGTTCCAGCTAACCATTTCCACACGGTGCCTAACTCATTTATCCCTCTTTTTGATCTAGTTGATATTAATTTGGATAAAATTAGTTCTAATACTTTTATGTCATATTTAATTTCCCATTGTGACCTTTTATTACTATCCCTTTTAATATTACCTGATTCCAAATTTATTATTTCTTTATAAAAGCTTAAGTTAGTTAGGTGGAATAAATCTGCGTATGAATCGTACGTCAATACGTCTTTATTGTCCTTAAATAAAAGATATTCGTGACTTGTATAGTCAATTATTTCAGATTTTGTTAATAAAATAAGGTGTAGTATGAGCACCTGATAAAACCTTTTCTGGGAAAGGAAAGAAAAAAAAGGATGATATATAAATACATAGAATTTTATATTATCTTTGTGAATAATTCTATTTCTATTGTTGATTATTATTTTGTTGGGTAAATTTTCTTTAACTATTTGTTTTTTTAATCTGGTTTTAAGTTTATTTCTTTCCCCGTGTGTCTTTTCATGGACTACCTGTCCTACATGATATTTTTTTTCTTTTCTGTTTTCGTTATGTGTTTCCAACATTTTCTCTTGAGTATTTTTCAAAAGTTGAGGAATGTTATCGTGCTCTATTTTATTATATAGTATGTCAAGGTTTTTGGTTCGTTGTAGAATGAATGCTCTGATTATATTCTTGAGCGGCTCGTATTACTATTTCGGAAAAGTCAGTTAAATTAAATTCTTCCTTAATGCATCGAGCTAATTCTGTTAATGTAGAATGTGCCCTTTCAACTTGTCCGTTTGACGTGCTGTGCCTCGGGTCTGCGTAATGTAAAGTTAAATTGCACCTTTGTGCGAAAGATTTAAATTGGGCCGAGGTAAAGCTCGGTTCATTATTGGTCATTATTACTTTGGCTTGTGGAAAATGTTGAAGTTCCATTACTTTATTTTCGATATTTAATTTATTTTGGATTTCTTTTACTACTAGAAATTTTGAGTAAGCCTACAAGTTATGAAAGTAAGACCTTGCGCGTAATATATGTCAATGTGTAAATTTTCTCCTTCTTTACTTGGAATTGGGGTTTCCCCAATTGGAATTTTTATTGGGTGCCTGTTATATTTATTTTCGTTACAAATCACACAATTTTTAATATATTTTTTTAATTTTTTAAAACAGTTTGGCCAATAATATAATTTACTGATCTGTTTGTAATTCTCTTCTAGCCCCCTATGAGCACGGCTGTGCGTTTCTTCTATTATTATAGCTTTATCTTCCTCGTTTTCCACGTCTTGTAGAAAGATTCTTGTAAAAAGGAATGTGTTTGTGAAATTATTTTTTAATGGTTATTGAATTTGAAATAAGTCCTCTAAGGTACAATGAATTCCTACCGTAATGTTAGGTGGAAGATACTCTCTTAATATAGTAATTAAATTCTCTGGTGTGTCATATTCAATTAAATGTCGTGTCCTGTCAAAGATTTTCAGTGACTCATGTATTGTATACCTCCCCGTTGTTTATAACAGTTGTTGTTTAAATTGATTTAACGGTTTACGGGTCTCTTGTATTACATTTTCAAAACTACTTTCAGCTGAATGCTGTGTGTTCTGATCTGAGTCTGACTGGTCTGTTTGTTCTATATCGCTGTTAGTAATATTATTTATCTGAATTCGAGATAATGCGTCTGCAACTACATTTGTTTTGTACCGGGCTTAAATGTTATTTTCGGTGTAAAACTTTGTATGAAAGAATACCATCCTTTCATATCTACATTGGGATTTTTATCCGAAATTCTTAGTTCCCGAATATTTTCTGGAAGCGGATATTTACTAATGGTTTCAATTTTCTCTGGGTCTATCATGATGACGTTATAGGATACCATGTATCCTAGAAAACGGGTTTCGCGTTTGAAAAACTTAGATTTTTCTAAGAGATTTTCATGTTTGCCCTCAATAATATATTTATAATTTTGTTTAGATCTGTATAGTGTTGTTCAATTGAGTTTGAGAATATTATAATGTCGTCCATATAGACATGACATGTTTTCCCTATTTGTTTTCTTAGAACATCTCTTATGTTCTCTCTTGTGTCTCTTATGTTCTCTATTTGTTCTCCATTGCTCTCTGAAAGATTCTTGGTGGATTTGTTAATCCGAATGGCATTCTTAAAAATTCGTATTTTTATTGAAAATTATTTATTGAAATTATTTATTGAAAAGCTGCTTTTTCGACATCAGATTCTTTCATTAGTATCTGATAAAATCCTGACTATAAATCTATTGTTGAAAAATATCTTGCTTTTCCCAAATTTGATAGAATTACTGATGGGTCTTGCATTGGGTACCTGTCAGGTATGGTACTTTCATTAAATTTTTTATAATTAATGACGAGGGTTAATTTACGTCTTTCGTCTTGATTCTCTTCTTTCTTTGGGACTACCAGAAGTGGTGAATTGTAAGGGCTTCTTCTAGACCT